AAAAGCCCGCTAAGTAAAAGAAAGATGAAATTTGAGGATTTCAGTAGTATCGCTTAAGCGATTTTCGAATCAGTTTCGCTTGAGTAACAGCGTTCATTGAAGAAGACCGTTGAATAGGGAAGTCCTTAGAATAAGGATGGCTGTAGAATGAATCCCGACAATTAAAACCTGAAAGGAAATAGAATTTTTTGAATTTAGGCTGTCAGAATCAACCGACTTTTATTAAACAATGGTATCTGTACAAAATAAACACTGGTTGATTATGGATGATCAGTCAAACATTTGAAATTAAGGTTAATTAATACAATAGGAATTGAGTGAAAAGGTAGAAAAATAATGAAGAAAACCAGAAAAAGAGAGGCTGGAAAACAAGAAGAAAAGATATTAAGTCGATATTGAAAAAGAGCATCTCCAACCAAATAAGGCAACTCAATCGACATTTAAAGCAGAGTCCGGTGAAATTTGTGAAAAAATTGAACAATGGTCTTGACGAAAAAACAAAAAAAACTACCCCCCCCAAAAAAAACGCTGAAAAACAAAGAGGAAAAACTAAAGAAAAAATGTTAAATTATTTACACTATTTATATCCGGGTTATTGTCCTCATCGTTGTTGTTTATATCACAACTTTTAGGTCGTTGTTTCCTATGGTTATCGATCTAGGTAACCTGCAGCGAATTCTGAACTGAACACTTTATTTAATCTGTGGGGGTAGATTGTTCTCGTCCCACTGATCATGTCTCGGGATATCTCGTCTAGTTCTTTTATTTTATTTATTTATTTATTTTTTGCTTATGTTCAATTATTGCTGAGTGCAGGTATGCACTGCCCGACTCAGGACAATCACTGTTTCATATATTTACAAACCAACAAATTTATCTACTTGGCCAAAGTCTTGGAGCTTTAAGCCTAACCTGTCTGCTGATTAAGCTGCAAGAGATGCCACTGTTTGTCATGTTTTGAGTGCTGCTGTCTATGTTTTGTTTGCTGCTGCTGCTGCCACGGTTGTCATTTTACCTTCCATCAGCATAGCTGATACGACCCTCCAGGAGAGTGACTTATTCCACCTTCTCAGACTAACGTTTTCAGCTGACATGGAAAGAGTTTATTGAATCAGTTGCTAAGTCTGCAACTAAGAAAGTTGTTTCACTATATCGTGATAGACAATTTTTCTCGCCAGAATCTATCATATATATCTATCATTCGTCCTTGCTTTGAATATTGCTACTATATCTGGCCTGGTGAACCTGCTATATATTTAGAGATACTTGATAAAACCCAAAGAAGTATCTGCAATGTTATTGATCCTAACCTGACTCTAGTCACTTTCCCACCTCCTTAAAGTAGATTCCCTGTGCCTTTTCTATAAATGCTTTCATGTTAATTTATCTGATGAATTTTCCTCAATTATACCTAGACGAATTTAAGCACATTACTAGATTGGCGGATAGGTCTCATCATTTTACAGTTGAAATGACTTGATGTAACCGTAATTTCTATGCTAACAATTTCGCACTTCACACTTGTGACACTCTCTTCCGGCCTCTTGCTTCCCAGTCAACTTTGATCTTCAAAAATTTAAGTGCAATGTCAATCGTTATCTTCTGCCTTCTTACTTTTTGTCCTTTTATTGTCCTATCTTCTTAATAGTAGTTATTTTCATATTCTTCCACATTCAGTAACCCATTGCGTCCTAGTGACTTTATTGCCTTGCTTTGGGTGAAATGAATAAAAAAATGTCTTTCACTCTTTATTAGCGGCTCCCATATTTTATTTATTTCTACGCTAGGTCTACTTAGTGGGTATCTAGTGTATAAAAGCCTTAGTTGTGCGGGAAAATCTACCCGCGTAGATTAGTAAAGAGTTGAGTTCAGAATTCCCTGTAGGTTATCCAGATCAATATACACCTGAAAGTGGCCGTCAGGTACAAAGAATGAAACGTTTTGATAACAACAACAAAGATGAGGACAATAGTCCGAATATAAATAATGGAAATAAAGATGACTTTTCATCTCAGAAATCCATAAAGAAAAAAAAAAAAGTTAAAAGAAACGAAAGAAGAAGGTAAGGATTTCTAATTCTGGGCAATCGAAGACACGGAATCAGAAAGCGAAAAGAAGAATGACAGATTTGTTTTTTTTTTATAAAAGTGACTGACAAAGATGGAACGAAAAAGGGGCCGAAGAAGAAGAGGACGAATAAGATTAAGAAAAGGTGGAATTAAAAACTGAAAAAGAAAAGAAAAGAAACTATCTAGCAATAAAGAACTAATTTGGTCCATTTGATTCATTATGACCCCAGAATGATAACGTTTTAGTGTTTTTCATCAAGTACATTATTCTAGCGGGCACAAATTTCGTAGTAGACATTAATATTTTGAATTAGCTGAAGTACGTAAGAAAGTGTTAGTGTTCTGTTTACATTTAAGATTGATGAAATTGGGAGTTGAAAAAAAATATGAAAAAAACGTCTTAAAAAAGCTAAAAATTAGGTGACAAATGATTTATGTCCTTTGTTCTTATTTTCAATAAATGAAAAAAAAGCATCGATTCATATTTATTTTTGGCACTCTCAACGAGAAGTGTGTTTTCGGGACAAGAAAAGAAATCAAGTTTTTGAATCTAAAAAAAAAAATAAAAAAATATAATAGCTGGTTTTGTGATCACAGCTCGTTAGAAATCCTCTTTTGTGGTTCCAGGCTTTAAGCACTCAGCACAATCTGATACTTCTAACTATCGGCTTATTAGTCTTCTATCTCTTTTTGGCAAACTACTAGAGGCTCTCATAAACTCTGAATTGGTCAAGAATCTCATTTTCTAGGGTTTTCTTTCAGTAAGCAATATGGCTTTAACTTCTTTAACTGTTGGGACATTAAATATTTATTTTACAATGTCCACACTGTACAAGGCACTCGAAGCAGAGGACTACAGAGTAAGAGACACAGTTTATTTGAATATGTGGCGAAAATAACGGTTAATCCTAGACTCGGGACAGGTTAAGATTGCAGGAAACATCCTCTTGGGAGTCGGTTCCACAAAGCAGTTGTTCGTGGGAAGAAGCTACTCGAGTGGAACTTACATCCCACCAATGAAATACGAAGGGTTTGAAGGTAGTTTACTAAAATGTGTGTAGCATGGTGGGTCTTAGTTGTGAAGTCTAGAACTTGTGGAACTAAGGAATGTAGTTCGACTGAGCACTTTTTATGGAAATAACGATAGAGCGGTGAGAGGC